CGGTGTCTACAGCACACAAATGCAGGTCCCAGGAGGCAGTGGGCCACTGTTCCTTTTCCACTGGGGTAACACTGGTTCAGCATTTGCAAACAGCACTGAAGCAACACAGAGAAACGTGACCCACTGTTTCTTCAATAACAGGAAGGCTGTTTCTTCTAAAGACAGCCCTGCATATTTACTCACACTGCCTGACAGGATGTGCTGGGGGGGCTGACATCATTATCAGAGCAGGGGTCGCGGCAGTGTGGTCATTATCCACGGAGTGGAGGGCTGGAGATCGGGAGGAGAGAGAGTGGAGAGGTGGGAGGAGAGAGGGGCTCTTTGTTTAAGGACATCAATCTCTGAACAGGCCGGGGGACTGATTCATGACACTGGCAGCTACAGGGAGACAGAGGTGGGGAGGGGGACACGGAGGAGGGGGAGAGAGGTGGAAACGGAAAGACAGAGACATGAAGAGCAGGAGACAGAGACGGCAGAAATGACCAAGCCCTCGCAGCTGTCCATCCTTCCGACTGGACGCGACGCAGAGACTGACCGCCCTCGCTGTACCGTCCACCTCCCTGTCCTGCTCTTTCCTCCTCTCGCCAATCGTTCCCGTATTTGACATTCTGTGCAGCTTCCTCTCTCAGCCACCTCCTCCAAACCGGTCTCTTCACTCTCTCGCTCTCTCCATCGATACCTCTGTACATTCATTTCTTTTCATCCCTCCACCCCCTCTTAACCTTCTCCTCATCCCCCACTCTCTCTGCGTCTCTGTCTCTCTCCTCCACTCTCTCTGTCCCTCTTCCTGCACGGCTCTCCCTCACTTACACAACGCCTTCCACTCATTTGAATGAATCGCTATTCTTTCAAGTGGAGCACTAATTTACTTGTTTGTTTCTCGGGGAAAAAAAAATGCGGTTTGAGATAAAAAGATCAATTAAAAATTAGGCTAATTCCATTTAGTGGGAGCCTCCCAGACCCGGAATATGCAGACAGGGAACGGTGGTTTGGCGCTGGTGCTCAGACTAGACAACCGCATCAGCTTAAGTGGGACAGAGCCGCAGTTTCGACAGATAACAGATGTGTGTGTACAGACAGGAGGGGTGCCCAGATCTGGGGCACATCTGAGGACTACAGCACCCCAGATCATCTTCGAATGAGAGCTAGGCTCCCAGGCTCCTGAGGAAGTCACTCCACAGAGCCAACAAATCAATACGTCAATACGAAACCCAGGACAGCTCCTGCATTCGTGTCAGCTGAAATCAATAACCCACTGGGGCTCAGGTTCCCAGCCCCATGCCCTGGGGGCAGGGCTCTCTGAGGAAATACCATGTGTGTGGTCATGCTCCCACAATGCTCTGGGGCTGTCCACTTTATCCTGCTTCCTAGGACAGGGGGGAACTTGCTGGTGTCTCAGAGAGACCAGTACCATACTACATGACCTCGTGAGAGGAATGCAGTAAAGCTGTTCATAGCTGCATATCAATTCTCAGAGAAAGAGAAGTATCCTCCTTCAGCAACAGTTCCTTGCTTAGAATAATAGTATGTCAAACTCTGTACACATCTGGCAGCTGTATGGCTTTATAATCATATACAGCATATAAATGACTTTGTATTCAATACTCCTAGAAAGTGGCAGACAATTCTAGTGCAGGCGTCTCCAACCCTGATCCCATTAGAGCCCCAATCCAGTTATTCTAAGTGGCCACCCTAAATCACCTGTTACTTAGGGAGTAGGAACACTTTTTTAGGCAAATTGATCAAGTCGCAAGTACTGTAATATTTCAACGCAGGGAACACTGGTCCATTGAGGACTGAAGGATATTGTGCTTTTTGTTCCACATAGTGTCTAAAGCACTTAATTGAGCATGACACCTGTTACATGTTTAACTGGTCACAGTTAAATTGCTCCAGGCCTTTAGATATTGACGATTTAAACGCTACATATGAAACTCACTGGTGCAGCCCTGTTCTTAAGGCACGTGGTGTGGATATACGTTCTGTGACAGGATGCACTTCATTACTTTCCTGTGTCCTAGCCTGCTCCCCCTCCAGAACTCACCCCTCTATATCTGCCCCACGCTCTCCTGCCCCTGCCCCTCCCGCGAGGGCAAGCGGGGCAAGTACTTAAAATATCAACGAAATCAACACCCCAGAATCACACCGGAGCCGGCGGTGAGACAGGCAACCAAGGGCACAAGAGACACATCGGGAAGATTCGTTTACGACTGCGATCGGGGGGGGGGGGGGGCACGTCTGTGCGCTAAGGGTTGCAGGGGTCTGAAACAAGTTACCCCGCTGGAAGAAGAGC